ATAAATAAATAAATAAATAAATAAAATCATTCTACTACTTCACATGATATCAATTTTATGCTTCCTTCTGTATTATAACTCATTTTTAAATTTTGTTGATTTTTTTGTGTGTATATCACAGAGAACTGAAATCTACCTGATGACTTTATATCCATATAGGTGCCAAGGATCCGAGAGCAACTGACCGTGACTAGTATTTATCAGATATTAAAAAAATTAAGAATGAAAAAAACAAAACACAACACAACAAACAAACAAACAAAAAAAAAAAACCATGGACTCTGATATGAACATTTGAAATTTGCCCTGTTCTGATTTTTTTCTGGTTCTCTGCCTAGAACTTGTAATGCTAACTACTCTTGTCTTTACTTCTCCTTCAAATCCCCTATTCACCAGTCAAGGACTTTCTTTTATCCTACAGATAAGAGTTATGAAATTTGGGAGTCTTTTAGATAGACCCACTGAAGGGGTACTCCAATTGCCTACCCTGCATCCCTGTTCAGCATGGAAGAAGCCAGAGCGGTTTGCACCCAGATTCCCTATTGGCAATTTAGGTAACCTTTCAGAGGATGGTGTGATAAGAATAGGAGGCAGGAATTGAATAGGCAGTTAGGGTAAAAAGACCCCAAAGAAACGTAGCCAGTTTCTTGGCTAAAAGTCAAAATGTCCTTGGGCCTGTTAGCAACATACTCTGTTCCAAAGGCCAAAAATATCAAAAGTATTTGGGAGCCTGTATCTAATCCTTAAAAGATTTTAGGGCTACCTCTTCAGAGGGGGAAATGTTAGAGTAGCAAAAAAAGCCCATAAAAATAAAGATATCAAAGAAAAAAAAAGAGAAAACATGTTATTCTAACAATAAAAAAAAGAAGCTGTTACAACATAAAATGTTTCTGAGCTAGTTCTAATTCATTAAATGATCTTTCAAATGCTTGACGTAACAAAGCTAACAGTCACCTAAGCACAGAGAAGGAATACAATTAATCAGTTTTGTCCAAGAAATAATCTTACAGGGATGCTTCTTCAAATCTTTTTTTCTGCAGTGTCTAATCCTACCTATTGCACTTTTTACTTCAGACACTGTAGATTTGATTTCTAAAATTTTGTCTTTTTTTCATGTCTTTGTGAGCTCTTATCTCAGTCCCCTCAGCTCAAGGAGTCTGCCAGGCTCTGCAGCAGTTCTGTCTCCTGTTGTACTGTAGCCTGATGACTCAATCACAGCAGTAAGCAGCCCTCTTTTCTTCTGTTTCCATCTCTTAGGGACCACCTTCTTTAAGTGTCTGATGCCAGTGTCTTATAAACTGTTGTAGGCATGCATTTTTTATTCCTCTCCAGGTAAGAGGGTTGCTTAATCCCTTTAGCTGCATTTCTTCTAGGGAACTTGAGTATTTGCCTTTTCAAGAATCTTTTATAAATGCTATCAGCCTTTACAGATAAAGCTTGCAATGAATAATAGCAAAACCTGATCTTTCTTTGGCAGACATTAACAAAGTTGATGTCCCATTACCCATGACACTCCCAGAATCATACCCTTTAGCAAAAAGATAGAGAAACAAAAATAAAACACTGTAAGAACACAAATGATCTGAAAACAGTTCCTTCATTAGCTCTTCATTAATGCTTGTAAGCATATGCTTTAAAAAGTCTTATATAGATGAACCTAATAGCATTCTTTGTTCAGTTACTGAATTTCCTCCATGCAGTCCTGAACATATCTATGTCCCTGACAAAAGACTTCCATGTATTCTAACAACAGTAGTTATTTCTAAGTCATAAAAATGGTGCATTTTTTCTTATTTGGAGAGAAAATACTGTCCTTATATTTTAAAAGTAGTGCCCTCTGAACGTAGACCTCATTTTTCTAAACTATAGACCAATTTTTGAGTGTGTGTATGTTTCTGTTCTTGCACACAGTGCACGTGTGTATGGTGATGTGCACGCACAAGTGTGTGTGTGTGTGTGTGTGTGTGTGTGTGTGTGTGCATGTGTGAAGGCCAGAGGACAACTTTAGGTGTTATTCCTCAGGTGCTGTCCACTTTTTTTTTTTTGAAACAGGGTCTCACTGGCCTGGAACTCACTGCAGAGGCCAAACTGGCTGGCCAGAGTTCCAGGGATCTGCCTGTCTCCCATGTCCCCAGTGCTGAGATTCTAGGCAGATGCCACTTCTTTCAGCTTTCTTTTCAATACATGGGTTCTGGGGATCAATCTCAGGTCCTCATACTTGCGAGGCAAGTACTTTACTGACTACACTATCTCCCCAGGCCCAATTTTTCCATTTTAGATTACAGTACCATCATACTTGAAGATAAGCAGGGAACTCTATTCTAACTTGGTGGTTTATTTTTATTACAAATAACTGTATTTTTAGGTTTTATTCTTCAGTTCAACTAAAATGAAGTGAACTGTAATACCAATTTCCCTATAAGACAGACAGGACAAACATCAGTCTTTCAAATGGCAATACACTCTACCTCTAATATTCTTTGAACGTCTATACTATGAAGTTTTAAGACAAAACAACTTTGTACCACATGGATTTCTAGGCTTGGATGTTTGTAGATTTGAAACTACAACCAAGTTTCAAATCTAAGTTGATGAACCTGAAGTCTAAAACTCAATAGAGAAATCAATTTATTAAAAACATGTTTCCTAAGCCATTCACAACTTGTTCAATTTGCCATATGTACACAGAGCATAAAACAGAATCAAGATTCTCATAAGGATTTGAGAACACACTCACCAAGAATACACACTGCATCAGCTTTTAGTAAATACTTCAGTCTGAGAAATCCTAGGCTTTTTTTTTTTTTTTTTAACCGCAGAACTGCACATCTCATGTGTAAATCAATGAAGGAATTATATAACTGAGAGTTACTTATCACTGACAATAAGAGCAAGGGAAACCATGGAACAGGAAATCAAATCAAATTACAGGGTGACACATGAAAACCCGGCGCAAGCCTGGACGCAAGGGACTTAATTTTACTGGCATGGCTTCTCATGGAAACTATCCAGAAGTCATGATACAGATACAATCCAGATCTCTGAGAAATAAGGGTAGTGTTTCTGTTTCTCTACCTCATAGACTACACAGAAGGCCCAGATGAGCTGAGCTGAGCTGCTTATAACAACTCACATATAAAGCTGCTTATTATTTCCAAAATTAGGTTTCCAATGGAAATCCCTGCAGAAAGGAACAATCCTCTCTGATTTTTGAGTCTCTTAAATTATTCCATGCACTTAATAAATAGGACCTCTGGTCTTGTGGGAACCTGATAGTTTAAGAATCAGAGCACAGTATGGGAGTTTTTCTTAACTCCAACAGCTAATCACCCAGCTGTCTCTGAAAGAGGCTGCTACTTCATCAGAGGCTCTCTGTACTGTCACTCTAATGGACTTGGCAGAGGCAGCACCAGATCCACCTGTGGCCCAGACTCCTAGGATACCCTCTGTAGCACTGTAGCATTAATTGTGGTAGCCATTGAAGTAATAAACATGTAAAAAGATTAGTTATTAGTAAAGCTGGATGCAAAGAAAAATGTATAAAAACTATTCACATTTTCAGGACTGAGAAGTTGCCATTGTAAAAAAACACGTTTACAATGTGCATATCAAACAAGATTCTATTTAATCATGTGAAGTTAGTTTTAAGGCTTGCATAATAACAGAGGTTGATTTTTAAATTCAAGAATTAGAAAAAAGAAATTAAGTACATCTTCTCAAAGGACAAAACTAAAGAATGTGCCTAAATGATGTAAGAAGGTCTTCTCAAACACAATGTCTGCATTATATTACTGACAAGCAACTGGAAGGGAACAGTGTCAAACACTAGAAAGTGAGGATGGAAAGGAATAAAAAGACTCAAACTGCAGTTGTCCATTTCTACTTTATCCCAAAGCAAAATGCAACTGCCTTACCAGTAATTGTTACACCACCATCTTTGTGATCTTCAGTCATTTCCTCAACATGAACTTCTGGGTTTATAACAACTTCTTTTCCTGATAACTTTAAATAAGCTTGTAGAGAAGATGGGACCTTGACGATAACAGAGCCTGTGATAAATTTCAAGGAAAACTTATTAATACAAAGAAGTCAAAGTGCCAGCATCTAATATGAATTTGACTGAAAGGGTAATATTTCTTCTGGTTTACTGTCTCCATTCCTCTGCATATTTATTTAAACAATGGATGCTTTTCTTTCTCCCAGGAGGTCAAAGTGCCCTTACTCTCAATGTATTCACAGTGACTTCTGTCAAGAGTATGGAGCATTAACTGGGTGTGGTGGCACAAAGCTTTAATCCTAGGACTTGGGAGGCAGAGGCAGGTAGATCTCTGAGTTTGAGGACAGCCTTGTCTACAAAGGGAACTCCAGAACAACAGAGCTACATAGTGAGACCTGCTCTTAAAAAAAAGAAAAGAAATACGGGAAGGAAAAACAAAGAGGGAAAGGGAGAGGGAGAGAGGGAGAGAGAGAGAGAGAGAGAGAGAGAGAGAGAGA